AAAGTTGCTGAGGTGTGTACAGTTTTCTGGTTTGGAGCAGTGTTTCAAGCATTCGAGTAGTAGCCTTTGCAATCCCAGCGACATGATTGTGCCAAGACATATTGGTGTCCTTTTACACCCCCAACAAACTTATCGAAGCAGAAGGTGGAATTGTCTGACCTGACATTATATCTGGTTCGGAGAAACTTATCTTTCTGGAGAAAACTGTTGCCTGGGTTTTTGTGGCATTGGATTGAACCTGGTTACATCCACCTCAATTCGAAATTACTTCTAGATCCTCATTAAGGTATGCAACCTCCTGCTGCCGGTGAAGATGTGTATACGCCGCAGATGTTCTGGAATCCAAATGGAATGAAGAAACAAGTGTGCTGTCGTAGCAAAGCAATATAATTGATTTTTGTTTTTGTACAATAAGTCGTTGATATATACTAGAAAGAGGGTTGGGGACAAAATAGATCCCTGGGGAACACCAGCGTTGATGGTGAGTATTCGAGATATATATGTCGAAGGCCACAGAAATGATCCGACAAGCCATAACATCGAAGTTTGGCCAGCAAACAAACCCTCATGCCACACACGGTCAAATGCCTTAGAAATATCAAGCGCAACAGCTCTTCACTCTCCATGTTTCTCAATTGAGTTATTTCAAATATGAGCGAAGATCGCCTGTTGATCTTTGTTTGCGAAAGACATATTGATGATCGCTCATCAAGATGTTGAGAGCTTCCAAATATTTGAGGATATGGTGGTTCAGTTATTTGGAAGATACGGCGCGAAAAAGAATTTCGACAATAAGAATAACTACGTTAACAATTTAAATTATTAACGTAGCCGAAATAAACGTATAGCGTACTACACTGGACCTACCAAGTAATAAAAAATCTAACAATTCCGTTGGTATATACCTATCAACAACATTCCGATTACTAAAAACGGCTGCAGACATTCAATTTGAATAGTTTATCTCGTAAGTGATCATTTATATGTGTTGAATAAGTTGAAACTAATTGACTTTGTCTATTATACGTGCATTTTCTGAGTTTAATATTTAAAGTCTTGTTAGTGAATTCCTCTATTATGCACGGTTATAGTAACGCAGAAATGGCTGACATGCATTTCATTTACGGACTTGCTGATTGGAAGCTAGGCGGTTGTACAGTGAACGATTTCCTAATCGTAATGTGCCTAACAGAAAAACCTTCCAAAGTATACATCAATGACTTCGTGAAACAGGAGCATTGAAGCGAAATGGAGGACCAGGAAGGCCAATGACAGTATGAACGGTAGAAGTAGAAGATAATGTGCTGGCCATGATAGAAGAAGATCCAGGTACATCTACTCGAAAAATTGCAAATACTTTCAATGTAAGTAACGGGACGATTTGGAACCAGTTTCTCAAATAATGCCATAAGGAATTTCCATAATACCCATGTTTGGCCTGAAGAAAGTCCACATGAGGTTCTTGAAGATGGCTTTAAACATCAGTTCTCGTTAAACGTTCGGGTGGGAATTATAGGCGACTTCTTAATTGGACCGGCAAAGACTTACCGGCAAAGTATACCGCAAATTTTTGGAACAAACGCTACCTCAGTTTCTGGAAGATGTACCATCGGTTAGAAGAAATGCAATGTGGATCATGTACGATGGTGTACCAGCGCTTTTTAGCATATTGGCTCTATTGGTCGAGATGGACCTCACTTATGGTCTACTCGATCACCGGACTAAAACCCCTAGGATTATTTCCTATGGGGCCACCTAAACTAATGAGTTCATACTACTTCAGTGGAAATGTGAAAGATTTGAGAAATCGGATGATTGCTGGGTGTATTTCCCACACTGAGTACCTACATCAAGATACCAACATGATCAAATAAACATGAACTTATAGGATACGTTTCTGGAAATTATTAGCGGCGAATTTTAATGGTTCTCATGCATACGAAATACAACGAATATACGAAATTTTTGCGGTACCCCCTCCATAGCAGCTCAGTATATTAATAATTAATTATGAACAATTATTGTGAACTAAATTTATAGTTAACAAATTCATATACATACCCAAAGGTCTTACCTTGAAAAGAAATGTATCTCTCAACAAAGTTCCATAAATTGATATAAGTACATCTCGTTTCAGCGGATTGGGTAAAAGGTCCAGAAGTTTGAAAGGTTTTCTTCCTTTTTCGTACTCCCACATATTCTTCATATATAATCTCGTCCTTCTTATCTGATAATCTTTAAAAAGGTAAATTTTCAGTATAGTGAACAATGACTTACTCAGAATATCGCAAAATTCGACAAAATATATTTTTATAATTCCGAAATTCCAGAATTTGTTATTTATGAAATGGGTTGTATTTTCAAGAGAACTTACTGTTTCCTGATATTGGTTTCAACATTTCTAAAAGGTATCGCTAATTTTTGATAGATCCAATTGAACTCACAATTGGTCTTAGAGGGACATTAGGTTTGGGTTATTATTTTTTCATCCAAAGCAAATGTTGTGTACAGTATTTGTTCAATTGATTTTGTGAACTTTTTTTGTTATATTATTCGTTCGGTATGTTGTACTAGAAATGAACTGAGATAATTCATTTGCATAACCGACATAATTCAATATCACTGTAGCATTACATTTATCAGCTGGAAGTATTTCAATATTAGTATCTGAACGAAGGGATGTTATTGCAATTGTCTCATACTTATTCAAAATTTTCTCCATGTTTTTAAGACAGAGGCAGATTTGAGTCTCCGAAACGTTAAGATGAGTGTTGTATGCTTTCTTAGCTCTTTTTTTGATAAGAAACATTATTGAATACGACAAGTTACTGATAAATATAACATTTTTTTGAATGTACGCAGTAACTTATCGGGGTAAAATAATGGCCTTTCTACACTTGTAAAAGTTCTTCATTAGAATTTTTATATTTTTCAGATTGTGGAAGGTGAAAATACCCAAAGTTCAATAAAAAACACATGAATGTGTTTGATGGGATGAAGTATGTCACTTTGATAACCTAGAAGTGGACATAAGTTCTAGTGAAAACTATTTAAAAATAAGTATATAATACGGCCGCAGGGTTTCAGGGTACACAAGGTGTTCAAATGCACAGAGTCTTCTCCAAGAACATTGAATACCTTGGCTTATTCAACAACATTACTTTTGCCTTCCTCAGCGAGCTGAAGTCAAACATCGAAAGTTATAGTGAAGCACACAAGCCGCTGACTACCACCCAGTGATCATGTTCTTTTTTGGTGGGTTTTCACCTTTGAGAAATGCTCATCGGTGTCCAACCACTGTCTTGAACCAGGATCCCCAAATCCTCGTCCTGGATAACTGTAGGTCTACCACTTTGTGGCTCATCTTCGAGATTAAAACCTCCGAAACGAAATTTGGCAAACCAACGTTGAGTGCGTTCATCAACACTCTCATTGACAAATGCCTGGTTGATTTTTCGGGATTTTTCGGCGGCGCTTTGGTACAACTTGAATTCATAGAGAATTTTTTTTCCGAAAATCGCTCAAAAACATCGTATTATCATGAGTTGAAAAGATTCACAAAATTATAATTTGGGAAAAATGAACAGCATCAATGAATATAGTATAAAATTCTCCATCAATTAGTGTATACCTTGGCCCTGTAGAAAAAATATTCCTTGAGATATGGAGCTACAAAAACACATGACATCAAAACGGAAAAACTTTTAAAACAACCTAATGAATACGACAAGTTACTGATGAATAGAACTTTTTTTTGGGAAAAAATACTTTGAATTCATCCAGTATCTCATACTTATTTTAATTTTTTAAATTTTTGGTAACAGTAACAAACAATTTTGATGCATTTCAGTTTGAATAGACACACAAGTACTATACAATAATTTTCAGGACTTTTTACCCTTCATACTTCTATAACGTGAGCAGGTGAATATAAACAACAATAAAAAATAATTGAACTCTAACACAGCTTACTGAAACTGAAGGTGATTCCTAGCTGGCTTCGCATTCTGAAAATCTGAAGACGTCAGAAACGCTACTTTGAGGCTGTTTTCAGAAGCATGGGATGTACTCAGAATTTTTTTTTTTGACAATATCCTCTAAATTACGTGCTATTTTCATGTCGAATTAAGCCTATTTGAAATGTTGATGATCGTATACACACCTGGCACATTCCATTCTTTCAAAAATTTGGTGCAATTTCTTGATTCGTTTTCGTATCTCAAAAGCCTACTTTCAGAATGATGAAGGGTTCGCAAAACATATCCTGAAAATGATTTATTCTACAATTTTGAAAGTACATATTAAATTTGTTTTTCCTGATATTATTTTTTTAAGGACAAAACACAAGTACTACAGGAAAATGCTTGAGGCGCTCTGAGAGAGGTGCCTGTGAAAAAGTAGCAATTTACATTGAACACACTGTGGGATAGAGCGCAGGATGGGCTCAAATTAATAGAAGCATGGTGTAAGGAACACTCACTGTCGATCAATCCCAAGAAGACTGGATGGCTCTTTTCACCAGGAAAAGAAGTTTATCGGGCTTAAAATCTCCCGAAATCTTCAAAAGCAAACTTAACTTCTCTGAAGAGGTGAAATACCTTGGTACTATCCTCGACAGAAAGCTAACATGGAACTCTCACCTACAGAGTAGAGCAAAAAGAGCATATGTCGCTTATGAACAATGTCGGAGGACAGTGGGACGCGAAGGGGGTCTTTCACCTCGTGTGGTCACCTGCAATAATAAGACCGATGTTAACGTACGGAGCAATTGCATAGAAACAGAAGGTCCTACAAGCAACGGCTATCCAAAATTATATCAAATACAGCGACTGGCTTGTTTAAAAATCACAGAAGCCATGAGAACATCACCAACCGTGGCAAATAATTATGGGTCTGACCCCTCTATACCTGTACGTTAAAGAGGTTGCGTTAATGGCCATGTTACGATTGCGCACAGCTGGGGTGTAAACCTCGAAGTAGGGATGGGTCAATTGAGGCTGAGCCTATGACGAGAAGCGCTTACTGCGCAACCTTTGCTGCAGGCAACCAGGGATGCAATTGAACCCAGGTTTGTGTTTAATAAACCCTACCAAATACAAATAAAACAGAACACAGAGTCAGATGGTACAAATGCAATACGCTTTTTTACAGACGGTTCAAAAACCAAAGAAGGCTCAGGATGTGGAGTGTACTCCAGATCACTAAGCCGTAAGGATTAAGTGGGGAATGGGAAAAAATGCCAGCGTGGTCCAAACAGAACTGGCTGGTATCTCAATCGTCACAAAAGAAATAACCAAGAAAGGAATTTCTGGCAAAAACATAACAATCTGCACTGACTGCAGACAAGCCCTATTAGCCTTGAACAGACAACGTGTAACCTCAGGGCTAGTACTAGAGTGCCACCAAGATTTAGTCAAAGCCTCGGTAGATAAAAACATTATCCTAAGGTGGGTTAAAGGGCACGACAGGAGTAAAGGTAATCGCATTGCCGACTCTTTAGCCAAGGAAGCGGCTGGACTAAGAATTTTAGGACCCAGTGACACCTACTGCCTGATGACTTCGACAATTGCGGAACTAGCCAAATGGTACACCCATGCTCAATCCCTAAAGAGATGGGGTGGAATCAAAGGATGCAATGTTGCTAGGATCACCCTGGGCGACCCTGGAAAGCTGGCGCCGAAGAAATATCTGGCGATGACCAGGAAAAATCTACGCTTAGCAGTAGGATTTCTGACTGGCCACTGTCAACTAAGGAAACACCTCCATAATATGGGGCTATTGGGCACACTTGCCGATATAAAGGAGATGTCTCCAAGTGACCTGTCCACCTTCCTGGAAAGGATAGGATGGACGATGATCTAGGAGGATAACTCCTCGGATGAATGTATAATGGGTCACATGTGGTCTAAGTGCTGTGGGCTTACACTCACCCTCCCTACTCTACAGATACAGATACATTGAATATGAATCGCTGGAGATTAAATCCATTTGGAAAAACGTTCTCAGGAAGTTTATTCCACAAAAACGCAGTTCTCCAAATGAAAGAGTTCTTTAACAGTGAAGTTCGAGGTGTACTGAGTTGTATCTCAAAACGATTAGCAGCCACAGTCCGTCGCGTATTTCTGATATGTATGTACCGCTCTTGGTGGAATCAAATGTGCCAAGTCATCTGAACACTTCCCGTGAAAGTATCTATAGAAGAGAGACACATCTCCAACCTTTCTTCGATGTTCCAGACTATCAAGGTTGCAAATCATGTTCGCGTCCTCAATCAGACGAAAGGCTATTTTGTGGATGGAAGCCATCAGTTTCAGGGTACACTTAGAGGCTGGGCTCCACACATGAGAACAATAATCTAAGGGAGGGATGATCTGAGCTTTATAAAGCATTAAAATTTGCTGAGGTGTGTACAGTTTTCTGGTGTTTCAAGCTTCCGAGAAGCGGCTTTCGCAATTCCAGCGATACGATTGTGCCAAGACATTTTGGTGTCCATTTCAACCCCCAAAAAACTTATCGAAGCAGAAAGCGGAATTGTCTGTCCTGACATTATTATATCCCGTTCGGAGATATTTATCTTTTTGGAGAAAATCGATGACTGGGTTTCTGTAGCATTGAATTGAACCTGGTTACTTTCATCCCTATTCGAAATCACTTCTAGATCCTCATTGAGGTATGCAACCTCCTGCTGGCGGTGTAGACGAGACAAGTGTGGTGTCGACAACAAAACAATATATTGGATTCTTCGATTCTTCCAATAAGTCGTTGATATACAATAAAAAGAGGGCTGGAGACAATATGTATCCCTGGGGAACACCAGCGTTGATGGTTAAAGTATTCGACGGCCACTTGCAGGAACGTTCTTTCAGCTGGAGTTTGACATTTCACTAATTTTCTGTCTTCTTTTGTGTTCTTCTTTTGTCGTTTACGAAATCAGACCCTCGAATTTGAATACCCCCTTGTGTGTTAGCATTATCGATATATAACGAGTTGATAGGAACTGTGGGGCCACCTGGTATAATTGAATGAGAATGGAGTGCATATTTATGTACACATTTCATGTCAAACGTGTCTTATTGTCTTACCTAAAAGTACCGCCAACATTATTTTCCCAACAATCATCACTGAAGAAGTGAACAGTACCTCCAGAACATTAGTTGATTTTATATCAGCAATTCCAGTACTTGTTAACACAGTCAAAATGTAATAATAAGACAACATCATCCGATAAAAAACGGGGGTATGCAGAACATGTTTCCTAAAAATAATCATGTGAGAAAAATATTCATGATGAAAAAAATTACCAATACTCAAATCTTGAAATCCACGATTCGGAAATGCAGTTATCGAAGGGGCAGGCCATCATGAACCACGTGCAAGACAAAATATGTATTATGAAGAAGTAGTATACAAGTAATTTTGTTAACAATAACCATATCTTTCTGTGCAGATCACTATTACACTGAAAAATAGAACATCCATGATTTTTTAGTTGAATTGTTGGCGAAAGTATATCATGTTTAATTGTTTCATGAATTATATTGCCAATTTTCTTGTGAAAAAATTGCACGAAAAAAAAATGGTTCAATATCGAAATGAGTGTGTTGTTTTGAAAATAGAACTTTCATTCTGGAGATGAATCCTTGAAAATGAACTGAAAGTTCAGTTTCAGTTCATTCAATTATGATTTACCGTTAGAAAGTAGTTTCATGAAATAACTCGTGAAATGTTCAAAAAATAAGGTGAATGTTCAAATTTCGCGGAATAGTAACATTCGATTGGCGATTTTTTAAATTGGTACACTGGTTTCGAACAAACAGTGTCTGAAAGCCAAATGGAATAAATTCATTATTTCGTTACTGTACACATCAAAAAAAATCTCGAAACACGTCAACTGTAAATTATAATTTGATATTCTTCAACGTGAAAATGCCATCCCTACCGTCAACCCCCTTCGATTGACAGGTACAACCCCAATTTTTTAAATGGTAAGTATAGGTTTGTGATATATCGTTTTGAAGGTCTCTTCATTCTCTATTCAAAAATGTTATCGCTTTCAAATTCATTGCAACAATTAACATTAAATAAATTAAACTCATGTGGTTACTGAAATTCGATAAATACACAAAAAACTAAAATATAATGAAAAACGTAATAAAATGTAGAATACGAAAAAATACTATAGATGTTAGAGAAGTAGATGTTCAAAATGTTCAACGCGAACGTCTTGGCAACATTCTAATCTCAAATAAAACCGACTCCTTACATTATTTAACATATCAGGCGTGACCAACCTAATCGTAAGCGTTATTCGTTCTTTCAAGTCATTCAAATCTGAAGGTTTAGTTTTGTACACAGTGCTCTCTATTAACATATCCCAATAAACATAAATCTAATGATGGAAGATCAGGTGATCGCGCTGGCCATTCAATCGATCCTCGCCTCCCTATCCACCGAGAGGGAAATGTTGTATCGAGGTATTGCCGGACATCAACTTGGTAATATGGTGGTGCTCCATCCTGCAGAAACCATATCGTAGTCAGTAGAACTTGAGGGTTTCCTGGATCAGGATATACATTTGCTAAACTTGGAATTACGTCATTTTGAAGTAGTGACAAATAATTATTGCCATTCAACTTGCCCTCAATGAAAAAGGGACCTATGATATTGGTTTCCTATAATCCCTTCCCAAACATTAACCTTGTGTTCTTTCTGTTGACCAATATTGGCAATTTTGCCAATTAGCATGACCGTTATCAGAAAACATTACGTCTTCTAATTGGATGATACTGTTATCCAACGTGTCCATCATTTACTCACAAAAATTAATTCTTTCATCAAAATCGTCTTCCAAGAGCCCTTGAGTAGGTATCATTTTATAGGGATGCATTTTATTTTCTTTCAATATGTTTAATATCGATGTGTTGTTAATATTGAATGTAGTGGATGCCTGTGTGCCTCGATGTATGTGGGTTTTCCTCAAACAAGCATCACATCTAATTTGAGTTCATCACTCATTGCATTGGCAGCTGCTTTTTTTATCTGCCCCACATGACCAAGCTCGCGAAACTGCTTCTCTATATTCCTTATTGTTCCTTGAGATATGGGTGGTAAATTAGTAAATTTCTCACACAACTTCCTGTAGTGTTCGGGTTTTATCTCCGTAACCAATCATTTGTAACACTGTTATTTTATGCATTTTCGTTAATCTAACTATTTGTCAGACTTGAAGTTAACAAATTTAAAATTTAAATTAAAATACTGACAACTGACATTGTAACATACAAAACAAGTTGACAAGGCGTTTTGAAATAACGTCGCTACGGAAATTATTTACAGTTGTTTAAAGTATACCACCTAAAAAACATCGCTATGGTTTTTGCTGACTTTCTTATTATCAATACCTCAACGTGAAATAAGTTTTGAGTATATTACAATATATTTTCAGTGTATTTTATCAAATTTCGGTAACCACATGATTTTAATTTATTTTATCTCAATTGTTGCAATAAACTTGAAAGTGATAACATTTTTGGATAGAGAATGAAGAGACCTTTCAAACGATATATCACAAGCCTATAACTTCCCATTTAAAAAATTGGGGGTTGTATCTGTCATTCGACGGGGGTTGAAGGTAGGGGTAGTATTTTTCAGTTGCAGTATGTCAAATTATAATTTGAATTTGACGTGTTTCAGGATTTTGTTAAAATATGTACCGTAACCGAAATGATGAATTTATTCCATTTGGCTTCAGCTGTTTGGCATCTTTAGTTTGTTGGTGGGAGGCATAAAAGTGTTCGGCGATTTTTTGCTATCGAAATAAATGGATCAATAAATTTGCATCAATTTTTGTGTAAAAAATGAAACTGAGTGATCAAAAAACACTTGAAATATTGACAGTGACATACGGTGATTGTAATCTGACTCAGAAAAATTTTTACAACTGGTACAAGCTTCTCACAGAAGGTCAAGAAGATGTGAATGATGTCGCTCGCCCTAGACGCTGCATCACATTTACAACCGATGAAAATGTTGAGAAAGTGAAAAAAGTTGTTATGGAAAATCGTCGAATCACTATAAAATGAGTTGCGGAGTTGCTGAGGATGTCGGCATATTGGTTGGCTCAAGCCATGCAATTTTTTCGTAAATTTTGGGCATGTGACACGAAGTTCGTTTCAAAATTGCTGAATTTTGACCAAAAAAATCAGTCACATGAATTGTAAAATGACGTCAACGGCTACTCAGATTTGCTCAAAATGGTCAGAATCATTGGTATATGATCAAGAAGTCCAATAGTCCCAATGGAAAAGCCCAGGAGAGCCAAGACCCAAAAAATCACGTCAAGTCCGATCAAATGTCACGGTTTTGCTTACTGTTTTCTTCGATTAACGTAGCGTAGTACATCAGGAGTCCTTGCCACATGATCATATGTTCAATAAGGAGTATTATCTTGAAGTTATGCTCCGCTAAGGAGAAACAATACGAAAAAAACATCGGGAATCGTGGAAAAACAATTCAAGGCTTTTACATCACGATAACGTACCCGCTCACTCGTCATTGCTTGTTCATAAATTTTTGGCCAAAAACAAAACCGTAATCATGCCTCAGCCAGCGTATTCACCAGATTTGGGCCCCTGCGACTTTTTCCTGTTTCCAAGAGAAAAACATTTTACGATAATTGAGAAGATAAAAAAAACCAGAATCGCTGTGGTAGTTCAAAGCCATACTAAAAATTGTATGTCAGAACGCTGGCATATGTGTATTATATCTGAGGAGGATTACTCTGAAGGGGAAAAAATAGAAATTGATAAATAAATAAATATTTTTGAACAGACAGCGTATGCCTTATGATGCATATCCAACGTTCAGTAAAAAGGTCTCAGAGATTTCAGTTGATGAAAATCGATTCGAAAGTTGAATATATTCGTTATAATGGATCTATCAGTAGTTGCAGTTACCAAAAATTGATATAGAATAACCTGATGATCATCATTTCCAAATTAGTAACTGCAGCTATAGTCGAAGTAACTGATATAGTAATTTTTAAAGCTATTGGCGAACTCAAAGGCCAAAAAAACCAATACAAAGAAGTAATGCCTCTACGAACTAGTCAACGTGGACTGAAGAACTGGCGGTACGTATTGGATAATTTTTACTAACCGAGTTTCATGATTGGCTGAAGAGTCATAAAATTAAATTTGAAGTCATGTTACGGTGACCAATAGAATGTAGCGAGGAGTACCGCCGTTGTGTCGTCAATGTTCAGTTCAGGAACTGATCGCGATTTGAGTGATGAAATTCGATATTGGTGAAGTTATAATTACTTGAAATTTTTGTTATTTGTTCAAAATGTGGCGTCCTAGGACAAATACTAATAGCAATAACGAGTGTGATAACAACGCAGACTTCTTTCTGTGTAGTGATTCCAATCGCGCTGGTAAACAATGCGAAAAAGAGATATCAGTGAATAAGATTCGGATGCATTTGAATATTGATACACAGAGAGTTTGTTTCAATGTACAGGGTGTAACATAAGTACATTCCTAGGACAATTTTAAGAAAAAAAGTCTATATGAACTTGTGTCCGAAAATGCTTCGTTTGGTAGATACGGGGTGTTGAAATTGAATTTTTTTGTTCGCTTTTTGAAAATAACTCTTGCAAAAAATAAGTTATTTGCACGAAATTCGGTACCCGGGGTTTTTTTGAAGTGGGAAATCATAATTTCATATTAATTTTCATGTAATATCTAGAGGGCGCTGCGTACGCTGTCATTATTTATTTCAAATTGCCCTAACTTGAAAATTGTAAATATCTCGAAAACTATCACCTCCAGCGCTGTTGAGGAGGTGTACTTTTTTACTTGGAAACGATGTGGGAATTAAGTTTTTTCATGAAAAGTACCAAAAGTTTACTGTTATGAACAAAGGATCGAGACTAATCATTGTGTATTGCCGAGGAAGTAAAGGAACGGTTCCGAATTCTTTGAAATTATGTAAAAAAAACTTGAGGACTGCAATGTTGATCATCATAAGAACATGGAAGCTGATATTTTTGAGAAAACACATTGGTCCCAAATTTGGATGCGAAAAGTGTAATAGTTCTTGACAACGCTTCCCATAATTCGCGATAGCTCATGTAAGTACCGAATAAAAATTCGAGGAAAGATGAAATACAATGTTTTTTAATGGATAAAAATTTGTATTTTGAAGAAAACTATACCAAAAACCAACTACTTGAAGTTGGTTTAGGAGAAAATTCAAGGAAGCCACGTATATGTTGTCCAACAACGCATTTAGTCAAGCTAGCGTAGAGATACGTAACATATGGAAACCTCTTAAATCTGATGTGATACGGAGACGTGTAAAAATTATAAATAAAGGGAGGGCGGGTAAAATGATCTTCTTTCATATCCATCTGAAATTTCTTTCTTAATAATAAACTAATGTACTTACCTCAAAATACTGCGATATATAATAAAATCTCAAAATGTGAAGCAATCTGAGACAACTGTAGGAAAAAAACCATTCTTCTCTTGGAAAAATGAAACACATGCAACCTATTGGGAAGTTGGGTACCACATCCCAAAATAGTTGCAAAGGGCTATTTATATATTTCTTGCGTAACTTTCTATTACTCTGTATTAAATTTCCATAAACGTTGACATAGCTACGGTGCAGTTTGAAAAATATTCTCAGATAGAATATTGGCTCGAATAGTAGATACAAGTAACCCAATAAAAACTTTTCTTGGGTAACAAAAACGTAAGGTATTACTAATAAATTCAAAATGCTTGCAACTGCTGTCATAGCATCAAAAACCTAAAAATGGTTAATGTAATAGATACCATATTAGTGAAATTAGTTATGAATACTTTAAAAATTCCATGATCATATTCCAGTGAAAATTTGAACCATCTTTGAGGTAAACAGAACTGAATTGCTTCATATTTCGTTAATAATAAACTTGATTTTTTAACAGCTGGATCAAAATCGGCTTCGAGTTCATCTGAAACATATCCTTATTTTAATAATCATCTGAAATCTAACATGATATACAAATCTTGTAGAATAAATGTATATGCCTGTATATACATTTATGCTATGCTATCCAAATCACTACATAGTGTGAAACAAAGTCGCTTTCCTCTGTCTGTTCCTATGTATGCTTAGATCTTTAAAACGCAATGGATTATGATGCGGGCTTTTAATAGATGAGGTGATTCAAGAGCAAAGTTCATATGTATAGAACATGCATAATATACAGGACGAGTCAACAAGATTACCTCGGTCTATTGCTATCATAAGAAACAATTTTTTGCACTGCTCTTTTTTTGCAGTCATATCGATAAATAAAGGGCGATTTTTCAGCCTTATTTTTCACAAAATAAACTATTTTAAAACACAAGCATTTATTTACTAGGTCACCTTTACATCTTATTCCTCCTTCTTTGACACTTTTCAGTTCAATAATCAACACTTTTCTTATAAAAAACTTAATTTAAAAACGAATGCTTTTCCTGTTGACATTCTTCTATCTCTAGGTTAGTTACTAGTGACATTTCAGAGAAAAACGGTTGGTATTTGCCGCCGCCTACTATTTCAAATTCGTAATACACCACCAAATACCAATTTACGATCTAAAGAATGAAGGTAAAAAAACATTTGAATTACTTTAGGAATATGGACTGCATCAGTCATACCAACCATGCCATTAACCTTAAAAACGTAAAATAAAGAGATATGTAACCAAAAAGCAGCTCCGTACATTTTTTAATATTTTTATTGGAAAAATGTTGATTATTGAAGTGAAAAGTGTCAAAGAAGGAGGAATAAGGTGTAAAGGTGACCTAGTGAATAAATGCTTGTGTTTTCAAATATTTTATTTTGTGAAAAATAAGGCTGAAAAGTCGCCCTTTTCTGAACTTTGAAGGGCCGTAACTGTGTAAATAAGGGAGAGGGCCGCTTTTTTCTTTCGGATTCGTGATCTACGTATCAAAATACGTAAGTACACTCAAAATTTTATTAAAATTGCCGGGTGCCCTCAAAACAAAAATTTACCAAAGACTGACATCATGTGTTGCAGAAAACGGTTGTCATTTTGAACATCTTTTGGATTCCTATATTCAATAAAAATTTAGGTGTTATTATTGTTCATATTGAAAAAATTTTGAGTAAGTGAACGTGAATAAATGAATTTTTTGTGGTTACAACAATTAATGAAACTGAGTATAATTGGTAATATATTTGTTTTTCGTATAGTTTACCTATAATAAAAATGTATTGAAAAGTTGAAACATTTCATACAAATGAAAAAATACAAGGTGTTCTATTTGAAAAAGTTGAATCATGTTTGTTTGAAAATGTATTAAACTTGACCAGTTTTACCGTGCATCCTATATATTGTTTCCGAAAGTTAGGGTATTCTATAAATTTCATACAGTGCCATAGTTACGCATACTAAACAAATTTTCAATTACACTTTAAAGTATCACGTATAAATAGGCAAGTTACCTGAAAATCAAATGTTTTCCGCTTCTTCCTCGAAAATCAAAATTTTTTTTTAAATAATTTCTCATCAAGCAGAACCAAATCCCGCAGTTTGTCCTGGGACACATTGTATAAGAATAGTACGCTATTTGATTGAGACAACGTATATTTACTTACTTTGAATGTCGGGTTCATCCGAAACTATTGGCATTATGAAATTTGGCTTCGTTTTCATGATATGTTCCAGATCATCAGAAATTGCTGAATAGACGTCGATAATATTTAACAGTTTCTCAGTATTGAAAATCCATATTTCCACATTTCTTTTCGCAACGACATAAATTCCACTGAGCTTATTAAAATTGTCAGAGATATTTCCAAACACTCCAGTGGGACCAATAGTTTGCATATATTCCTTATTTTTATTCAAAATATCTACTTCACCTTTTGCTACGATGAAAATTTCCGATAGAATATCTTTGTATTTAACCACAGTCTCGCCTGGAAATGTTGAAAGTTTGTATATCGAAAAAATAAAGAATCAAATCACAACCTTTAATAAACAGTTTCACAAATATGTGATCTATCAAAACGCCCAGAAAATTATCGTCAAAACTGATGAAAAGTGGCACATCCTGGAGAATGTTTCTGTAGAAATAAAAGAGTGTATTGTTAACGTCCAGTTCGGGGTTGTAGTGTTTGATCATTTGATGGGATGGCGGGCCATTATACCTCCAAATATATTCAAAATGCCTGAAACACTGACGATAAATAATGAAGGAGCCTGGCTTGAATTATTTTAAACACACTTTTCTCCTTACGTCATTCTTCAAACCTTTGGAATCGAGAATGTTCATTAAAGTAAACACTTCTTCAGGACTTTCGGACGTTTCCACAGAACCTTCGAGGATAATGTTTGCCACAATTGCAGTAAATATGGCGAATACTATGAATCCCAGTAAAACAGAAATGATTGCTACAATGCTAGGCTCAAAACTTGCAGATGTTATATCTTCAAATCCAGTTTGTGTCATGAAATTCACAGCAGTGTATATTCCCACAATATATCTTTCTGCAGGTTCTGAAATTCGGAGATAATTAAAATACTTATAATGAGGACAATAGTCAAGAACCTCGCAATCTTCCGAAGGGAGAATTTTTCTGCCAGAAATCATTCATACATTGAAGATACTGGACGTCAGTCACTATTTGGCAGCTATAACTAATTACTATATTAGTTAGAATATTTGTAATCAGAACAATAACTAGAAATATCTTGGAGATTTTCATGACCTTGACAGTTCCAAAAATGTTCTCGTCGAAGAATGATAGAAATTTGAAAACTTTGTAAAATTGGGTAAGCTTCAAAAGACTCCAAGAACAATGATGAAAATGTGGAAATGCTATCATGCCATGATTATCCGGGTTGAGGTGGATCAATAATAATTCCCACGGTATCGCAGCTAATAAGTCCAATAAGAATCCGTGGCAAATATAGTACCTTGAAAACACAATAAAATTTAAATAAACTGGTTTTCGAAAAGTTCATGATGATCGAAATTCACAAAGTTATCAATAGAAATCGTAATTAATTCAGGAAATCTACACTGTGTCCAAGATAAGAATGAACAGCATGGGGATATCGGAAACGGTATGTATACGGGGTCGATTGAATTAGAGAAAAGTAGGGCATTTATGTGCCAGAAAAGTAGCGCATTTATGTGTCTAATAATATGCCATTTAGAAAGTTTTAATATTATTTATTTTGGGTCCAGTTTTATTTTTGATTTGCATAAATTCTCTTTCAAAATTATTGTTGAAAGGAAATATTAAGTTATACGCGGATGACACAACATTGCTTTATTTTTCTAGTGATACTAAAGAAGTTTACAATAACATAAATGACATTATATTGCTAACCTCTTGGTTAAATTATCATAAATTAACTTTGAATTATGAAAAGTCTTCTTTAATGTTGATAACTAAGAACAAAATCACAAACAAAGAGAATTTGATTGTTTTACAACAAAATGATTAAATATTGTCAAAACACAAAATTTGTAGGACTATACATTGATGAAAGTCTGTTGGAATACTCATATTGAGATGTTAAAAAAAAATCGGACCAATTTAAGGAATATTATTTAGGATTAGAAATTTTATTCAATTAAAATATCTCAAATGTATATATTTCTGTTTGGTATATTCAAATCTACAATATTTAATTTCAATTTGGGGAAGAGCTAATTTATCAATAATTAATCCTCTCAAGAGACTGCAAAATAAAATAATGAAATGTATATTCAAATTACCATATCTTGAACCTACGTCAAATTTATATATCTATACCACGTGATCTTTTAGATATTCAGTCTATTTTTCAATTGAAAATTTGTTGTTTTATTTATTCTGTTATAAAAAATCACAAGCATTCAAATTTAGAATTCAATCAAATAAATACCATCCATGACAATAATACAAGACAAGCAAAAAAATTACTATTTGAATCATATCGCTCAAAATTTGGGGAGAAATCAATATTTCATTTATGAGTTAAAATATATAATAATCTTCCAGATAAACTAAAAATGAATCGAAAAACATTCAAATCGGAATTGAAAAAGTGTCTGCTTTCTTCCTCTAATTGAAATTCTGATCTTCATATTACATTTTTTTGTTTTTAATTACCATTATAATTCAAAAATGTATATATTTATATATGTATGTGTGTGTATATGTAAATATGTATGTATATATGTATATTTGTGTTTGCATTCATACATTATTCATAATTTATTTAATCATTATTTCAAATTTTATCCCTGTTATAAACATTCTTGTTTCTTGGGATCAATAAAGATTATCATTATTATTATTGTGCCAAAAAAATTGTGCTGATGATGAACGTGCGTACTCTAATAAGTATCCAGAGAGGCGGCAATCTCAATTTAAAAGAATACGGATCATTTAAAAAACCTGTGATTTCCCGACAAACGCAATCTAATGAAGAAAGTCAGCGTGATGTGTTACAGGCCGTTGTTGACAATCCTGAGATATCCACTCACATCATGGAACATAAATCCGGAGTAGCCAAATCCACCGCTCACTATATTTTAAAAATAAATAAATATCATCCATTTATTCAGGTTTTGTCATGGACTCAGATCAGGTGACGATGCAGAGCAAACAACCTTTTGTGAATGGTATACTAGAAAATGCCAAGACGATGAAAATTTCACTTTCAAAATAATTTGGTCTGATGAAACTAAGATCACCAACAATGGCATTTTTAATAGGCACAATGTTCATTATTGGTCACAACAAAGTACACAAAGTGTCCAGACATCAACATCGTTTCGATTTTAACATGTGCGTTGGGATTCTCGGTTCGAATGTAATTGGGCCTTTCATCTACAAAAATAATTTAACAAAAGTGCGGTACATAAATTTGTTGGTAAATGATTTGGGAGACTCTCTAGATAATTTGTCAATAGCGGTTACTCACAGCTGCTGGTTTCAACAAGATGGTGCTCCAGCACATAACGCTAAAATTGTTTGTGGTTATTTGGACCGTCGCTTTCCAGGACAGTGGATTGGTACTCATAGTGATATATCCTGGCCTGCAAGGTCACCCTAGCTAACCCCACTAGACTTTTGCATTTGAGGATATATTAAGAATGAAGTGTACTCTCATGATTTCCAAAATGAAGAAGATTTGCTAAGATTGGTTACTGCAACCTTTAACAATATCGTTCCGAATATGTTAACTCAAGTTTAAAATTCGTCTGTGAGACGAACGTACTTGTGTTCAGAAAATGACGGCGGGTTATATGAACACTTGTTATAAGTTTCTGTTTATTTCATTTAATACGGCAAGTGGTAAGTTAAAATTTATTATAGATAAGACTAATCACTTTACCTCATGTATCAAAATATGACATTATTTCCAGCGCGTACTATCTAAAATTGAAGAAGCAGGTTATGTAATCACTTTTCATTTTGCGCGAGTAAAGGTTTTGAAATCATATTGTGTGATACGTTGCTATATACTTTACTTTCGGTATACTTTAGTTTCGGCCCATATAAAAATACAAAGTTGATGATGTTTTCTAAAAGACGTAACGTCGCAGAAAAATTATGCTTACATTATCGTGTAGTCCTTAAAAAGTGTCCATGGCAAAGTGCTATTTGTTTTACATTTCCTTCGAAAATAAAACTAGGAGAAAATCAAAACGAAATTCTCAAATTTCGGTTTTTCTTGGATATCTCCAAAACTACTCGGAATATTAAAACTTTGTAAATGGCATATTATTATACACATAAATGCGCTACTTTTCTCTAATTCAATCGACCCCGTATCTCTGACCGTTTCCGATATCCCCATGCTGTTCATTCTTATCTTGGACACAGTGGGTAGTTAGTTATATATACAGGCCGTTTCTTTTATCATGTGGTAACATTGCTATATTATAAACCGTATCAGATACGAAGACAATTAAATAGGAAAAAAAGTAACAATCAATGATCGAAGAAAATTTACTTCTCTGTGATCAGCTGTGATGGCGTCATGACAACAGAATTCAGAGTGGGGATGGAGTGAGAGAGTTGCACGCATTAAACTTTCTCGACGAATTTTTGTTATTTCGGCTTGCGGAAATCGTCAGACTATATATTTTTCGATATCCTTGAATTATTTTCTTCCCAATAAAAAAAAATCAGCTATGCTCGAGAATGTGGAGATGACGTTTTCTTTACAACTTTGCTGCCCTCCCCTTTCTTTACGTCACTCTCAAAATTTCAGATTACTGGAATTACCACTTTTTAGCATGAAATTAACTCACCCTACTTTAATCTGACGCGCTCGAGAATTTCTGATGATCAGTTTTTTTTTACTAATCTGATGCTTTATCCTTCACGGGCGGCCTTATATATGGGGCTCATATTTCGTGGAGATACTTAACCGGGTACAAGGTATCCCCCTGTATATTAATCTGCCGCTCTTCAGTAAATCCCGAAATCCCCGCTTGGGCTCCCCTATTATAACACAAGTCGATTGATTTCATCAGCATGAAAGTTTTGTGCTTGGGATTCGATGAAATCGAAGAAGACCGTTATTGCCTGGTTCTGATTGGCGAAAGTTCTACCGGTGAGAAAGTTGTCGAATTGTTTGAAAAGATGGTAGTAGGTTGGCGAGAGATCTGGGAAGTATGGTGAGTGAGGCAGAACTTCGACGCTCAATTCGTTCAATTTTCGGACGGGAAGTGCCTGGGTGGCTCATCGGTGTCCAACCACTGTCCCGAACATCTCATGTTGAAGAGTGTCCACTTTTTACCACACGTAACAATTCGATCCAAAAAAAGATCGTTTTGACATGTGACAATTTCTGTCGATCATTCAAATAGTGGGGCACCCACTTTTCGAACTTTTTTACCTTTCCAATACATCTCAAACCATCAAAAACCGCATGGGAGCTGACCAGTGGCGGATCCAGAAAATCATTTTGGAGGAGCCCAGTTCACAACTCAGAGTATGGGGTTTATAACCAACCCCTCTATAAATTACTGAGTCCTTGGAGGTTTTCTATTGATGTTCAGTTGTATGCATTCAGAAACAAATATTTGAAAAAAAAAATAAAAACCAATGCTTAGTTTTGAATATTGCATCACAACTAACAATAAGAAGTAGATTATGAGTTTTTATTAATCAAATTTATTAATGGTCGAACATAATAATAATTTTATAATGTAAACATAATATTTTCGATTTTCAGAGATAATTTGCTCTTGTGCTTTCTTATGTATACGACCAAGACTTCTTCAGCTTCCATCGTATTGAAAATAGTCTGGTGTATGTGCAGTAAAGCCAAACCATTTAGTCCCCTTTCAGTTATTGTATTGCATAGATATGTTTTTGAACGACGCAAATCTCAAAAAGTTTTCTCTGTTGTACTGGTAGTCACAGAATAGCTGAAGTACTATCCTGATGTTTGGGAGAGAATCGGCAAACTTGTAAGCTTGCGTCGGGTGTTTAGGCAACTTTCGGGATTTGATTTCTACATGTGTTTCAATATTTGCAACTCACCTTTCAAGGCCGAAAAGCGTGGCAAATCTTCTTTGTATTCGATTGCCTCTTGAAGAAAGTCACTAATGGAGGCATCATTTATATCGGGTATTAACGAGTGTTGTAGCTTTCCTACACATTCCATCTCCTTTTTGGAGAACCTTGCCATACGTTCATTTATAATCAAATCAAGAAACGGGATGTATACTGACCTGCGATAATAGACCTCAGGTGAATCTGTTTGTACGGTAGATCGGTTTTATTGTCGAGCTGTTGTCTTAGGCATTTTAATCACTGGGCCCATTCCTTTTACCAAATCAGCCGCCTGATTATAAAGCTCCTCAAAGTTGACAGAGCTGTTGTCTCGTTTTTCCTGTGTGCTCTATATTGTAGCTTCTACAAGTTGCGAAGCTTGCAGCACATCCATGTATTCTGCTTGGAGGTTGCGAGCTGAAGGTAAAGTTATTCCAAGCACCTCAGCCAACACTACTATACTGATTAAACACTCTGATGACAGAATAGAGTGCAGGAAAGCAAATGCATTACTTCCTCTACCTTCCGGTGAACTGGCAATGACTTCGATGACAGTGGGGAGTGCAGGAAGATGTTTCATGAACGTCAACATAGCTTCGTGCATTTTTATCCATCTTGTCTCACACAGCTTTTTCAAACCATGTCTTCCTGGCTTGAGGTTATGAATTTCCTGCCTCTTTTTTTCCGAAGCTTTAAATCTTGCAGCAGAGTCACCGAAAAAATTTGCCAGGGAAAATAAAACTCCCATGGCATTTCTGATGCTAGCTTTACTTATGCCAAGTTTAGCCTATGGTTGACACAAGGGCTGTAGATTGCAAAAGGGTGAATCTGGGGAATGCGGGCTTGCACACCCTTGAATATTCCATTCATATTGGAGGATCCATCAAAGGCTTGTCCTCGGCCATAACCAAATAAAGGCCAAGTTTATCTAGCTCTTGATGAAATCTACTTCAATCTTGTATTCCTTGGTTGTTGAAATACCTTATGCAAATTGCAAGTTGTTCTTTAACAGACAAATCTGTGGTCTCATTTGCCATTATTGTAAAAAACTTAGACTCTTTTATTTTATGTACAATCTTGTCAGTGATAACTTCGCAGCATTCCATAATTTCATTCTGCTTAGTTTTGCTGATGTAGCTGGAATTCCTCTCACAACTTCTTGTATGTGATGCTAGAACGTCATCACCAGCGTCAACTCTGAATTTTAGCGGTGCTCTAAAATTTCCTTCGCTGAAACAGCTCCCAGTTGTCTCAATAATGCCATCACCTCTGTGTCCCTTCAAGGGTATGTTGATCACCACATGAAATATCCGTTTTAATGATGGGAATAAGCTTCCTATGATTACCTTCAATTGTCTTTTTTTCTACTGCACTTATGTTGGCTACTACACTGTTTGCTTTACCCTCATGAGTCATACGAAAAGTGTGATGAAACGAAGTGGGTCAAATTGTAAATTTAATTAATATTATGTAACGGATAAAAACAGTTAAGATTTATTTATATATTAGGTTTTATCAACTATATCTGCCTAACTTTCCTTTATCAATCATAAATTGTATTTCACTGGAGCTGACGTCTAGTTCTTCCGGCGTTCCACGCACCGGTCAGTCACCACCAGGATCCTACAATCCTCGTCCTGGATTACTGTAGGTCGACCACTTTTGGGTTCATCTTCGAGGCTAATATCTCCGAAACGATATTTTGCAAACCAACGTGGAACAGTGCGTTTATTAACACTATTTTTGCCAAATGTCTGGTTAATTTTTCGGACTGTTTTGGCAACGCCTTGGTTCAATTTGAATTTGACTAATTCTGATATGGAAATCATATCCGAAACTTTACCCCCTGCGGTCAGCAACTACCCCCCTATTTTTGTCAATGGCAAGGGGGGTCGGGTGATACATGATTTGAAAGGTCTTTTGTTCCTCTACTACCTCTGTAATTTTTTTCGAAATTGGTTCATTCGTTATTGAGAAATTAAATGTTAAACATTTTATTTAAGAAAAAAACAGAAAATTCGCTGTCGTTCATTTTGATGAGCAAATCAACAAGAAATAATATCAGTGGAAACAAAATCAACGGATAAATTGTTCAAAATGACCTCCACCTAGTTCCATACAATAATACAGTATATTCTCGAAAGCGTTCCGTACATTATTCAAGATGATCGGAATCAGCAATCGGCATTCCCGAACAATTTTCTGTCGCAGGTCTTCTAGATTACTAGGCTTAGTAGAGTACACTTCCGACTTCAGGTTTCTCCACAGAAAGAAGTCCATCGGTGTGAGATCAAGTGATCTAGCTGGCCACTCCACTGGACCCCTTCTGCCGATCCAACGCATTGGAAAACGTTTGTCCAAAAACTGTCTCACCCAAACATCAAAATGTGGGGATGCACCATCCTACTGGAATGTTATTAAATTTTCTATTAAATTGCCAGTATTTTCTAAAATGTATGTAATCATAGAATCTACACAGTCTTGTAATAGATTTAAGTAGGTGTCTCCATTAAGATTACCTTCAATGAAGAATGATCCAACAATATGATTATCAAGAATGCCGGCACAGACATTCAATTTTTGTGGAGTTTGTGAATGTGTTTCCATCACCAATAATGCCTATTCACTTCACCATTCAACGTGAAAGAACTATCGTCTGAAAAACATGTATTGTATAATAGGTTTGGGTTATTGGTCAATTTCTTGCTGAACACTTCACAAAACTGGAGTCAACGATCAGGATCATCTCCGTTTGATTTCTGAACTACCCTTATTTTGGAAGAATGGAATTTGTAGGCTTTCAAAATCCAAAAAACACTAGTAGCTGATACGCCAGACGCTCTAGCTATTTGTCTGATAGATTATCGATTATCCATTTGTACATGTTCTAAAACTGCAACTTCAACTCCACAGGACGATATACTTCATGTTTTCTCCACAGAACCTGAAGTTCGAAACTTATCCATTAACTGTTTAACGTATTGACCGCTCACGTTGTGGTCTAGATGATTCGTATTATAAACTCTTGCAGCAGCTTTAGCAAATTCATTATTTCGATAATAGGTTGCAACAATTACTATTCTTCCTTCAGTAGAATAAACCATGTTGGAACACAGTGAACAAGGACGACTGAATAATAATTCGTGAAGAAGTGACAGTGACCAACTATCTACTTTTTGTTCTGCGACAACTAAGAATCAACAAGAACTACAAGATCAGATACAACTGAGTGTCGTCCATTTCAAAACGTTTAGTACTAATTAAATAAATTCTACAAATCAAGAAGACCTGCGACACAGAATGGGCTTGTTTCATGATTTTTTTGTTTATAGTTCACTTGATAGAAATTTTAAATTGAAAAACAGTGCACTTTGTTTCATATCTCTAAGTACCGTAGTTTTCCCGTAATCAATTATTAAAAATCGAATGTGGTAGGGTGGTGACGTCACGCCCCTATTCCCGCTTCTTGTTCGACTGGCCAATAGAAACAGTAGAAATAATCAACATTGCCAAATCATAAAATTTACGAAGCCTATAATTATCAATTTAATCATGGAAGTTTATATGAACTCGTTAACGTTTCAATTGATGAAACATTCTCCACATGGAATAAAATGTACACGAAAAATCATGTTTGCAAACAAGTTCTATATCTAAAATCAGTACACAAAGTCGATAGATCACAAAATATTTACCTGAACAATGATTTTATGCATTATTTAATGATATTCAGTTATGAAAATAAAAAAATATAGCAAACTGGATTGAAGAATCATATCAAATATTCAATTTACTCTACAATCCTCAATCTGTACAACTGCCATATATCATTAAAAAAACGATTTCTACATACATACCCCTTTCTAATANAAATATAGGGGGATAGTTGCTGACCGTAGGGAGGTGAAATTTCTGGTATGATTTCCATTTCAGAATCAGTCTCCCTAGAAATAAAAATTGACTTGTTCTTTGAAATTTTCGATTACAGGGGGGGGGTCAATTTATCATTGGAATGCCCTGTATAATACGACACAGTAGAGTGAAAGTTATTAAGATATGGACCAACAAAAATACATGACATTAAACGGACAAAACTTTTGAAACATCCTAATTTGTTAATTTCACCTTCTTTTCGATCGAATTAGTCCGTGTTCATAAGTTTCTTTCGTTTCCTTATTTACTCCCAGAAAGTAATTCTGAATTTTGTCAAGAATTTGTTTTTTTTTGTCACTGAAAAATGTCATGTTGTCAAAATGTTTGCATATTTCCTTCATAAATCAGAAACCATTTCGAATAGTTACAGAATTTATACGAAATTTCTGGTAACAAAAAATTCATTAAACTCACCAAAATGTATGGGCCGGATGAATTTTCAAAAAACCTCCATCATCAAAATATGCTACATGCATGAGAATATAAATGTCGAAATACAAAGATGAATGACAAACCACTTTCCACCAATATAACCCATCGACAAATGATGGAACCAAAACCATGATAGGTTCCAAAATACTCAAAATAACAATAAAAACACTTCTTATGGCACACCAGAATATGAGAAAAAACCCTTCTGGGTGAATAGATACTGGCATGAGTAGAACAGCGAAAAACCACAAGGAACCCAATTTTTGTCTGTATACTTCACAGTAATTCGGCCACGATTTGGACAAACTGATGAAGCACTTTCTGAAAATGAAAAGTTTTGAAATTGTTGTAACCAATTCAAAAGTTATAGTACCGATCTACAATAATATGCCTCCCAATGTCGCAATTCTCATATGCGTCTTCATTAGTATCTATCTTCTTCAAAAGACTCATAATGTTTTCATTGTGAACAATATCCTCAATAGTACTATATTCCTTAGGAAATAATCCCAAAATCTGACGTATACTCGTATATTCTAGACTAATAATAACACAATCAGTGCATGTGACAACTGTATGCTTTTTTGGCATGCAAAAAAACATTTCTAGAACTCCCAGTTGCGTTCCGGGTCCCACAGTTCTTTCTAAACAGTCCTCCGAGTTGTAAATGCGACAAAACCCCTTCTGAATAACATACATCTGACGAGTTAAATCACCAAACTACTTCATCAGCTCTAGCTGATAAGCCCCACTGTTCAAGACTATAGGAAATTACTAAATTATATAAACTGTGGTATAAAAGCTTGAGAACATCAAGAGAGACTGTTTGTTGTAACTGACGAAGTAAATATACCTATTTACTGAGCTTCAGTTTGACACTATCAACTTGAAACTTCCAGGTAAGTTTATTATCAATATCCACACCTAAGAATTCAGTACAATTAACTTATGCCTCTCACCAACAAACTAAAAATGTGAAACAGTTCAAACTGTGAACATATGTTCAAGACCTGTGTACCAACATAAAAAAATGGAAAAATCGCCAAACGAAGGTATGTAGCTCGTTAAAATTTTAACATCCCCCTTATTTTTCGAACAGACCTCATATATATTTTCCATGAACCCAATAACGCCTGGGTAATTTTTTTTTGGTAGAAAAGTATTAAATAGTTATTTTTTAGGTTTTTAGGATGCAATGTAAGGATTAACAGTGGCTGTTCAGTACAGAAGCCCCATATTAATCTAATCTTAATCTAAAGAATTAACAGCACTAGACGGTTTAACTACCTATTTATAACACTTCATGAAAAAATACAAACAATTATTAAGTGTCATTTATTTTAGGTAAAAAACAAAAATTGTTATTTTAGCCTAACATCTACTTCTTATGAAATATACACTGTGTCCGTAAAGTATGGAACAAATTCATTTTTAGCTAAACAGGTCATTTTAAAAAATAATCCTGAAACACGTCGATTTTGATGTTAATTTACCGTATTTTAAAATAATAATTTGTATTAAATGCTATGTTTACTCCAGTGTTGTCGGGCCGATGTCGGGCCGATATCGTGTCGGTGGTGTGTCGGCTAGTGTGAAAACGGCCAAAGTAGACTGTATTATTGTATGGAACTAGAAAGAGGTCATTTCGAACTCTGTCGCTCAATAAAATGAGCGATAGCGTATTTTCTGTTTTTTTTTAAATGAAACGTTCAACATTCAATTTCTCAATGACGAATGAACCAATTTCGAAAAACATTACAGAATTAAGAGAGGGACAAAATACCTTCCAAATGATCCCATGCCAATGAAAAAAAAATGGGAGGGGTAGGGGGATGAAGTTCTTTGAGATTTTCGATTACAGGGAGGGTCAAGTTTTCATTGGAATGCCCTGTATAATACGACACAGTAGAATAAATAGTTATTGAGATATGGAACTACAAAAACACATGACATTAAACAGACAAAACTTTTGAAACATCCTAATATGTCAATTCCACCTTCTTTTCGATCGAATTAGTCTGTATTCATAAGTTTCTTTCTTTTCCTTATTTACTCCCAGAATTTGTTTTTTTTACTGAAATTTGTCA